GGTACGTACCGTAACCTTTACCTTTCGTTGTTCTTTTTGGTTTTCGTACTTAGAATAACCTTTACCTTACGAATAAGTAAAATAAAGTACTTATACTACTACAATACACACACACACACACACACACACACACACACACACACATGGAACTTATTTATTTTTCATTTTTTTGGTGGAGGGAGGTAATTCAGTTTACCTATTTCTTTCTTTTTTTTAGAGGAGATACTGGTGATTGAACCCAGGACCTTGTGTATGCTAAGCATGTGCTCTACCATGGGAGCTATACTCTGCCCCCACCATACACTCTCATGTGTGCTTATAACCCATAACCCAGCACAGCCAGTGTCCGGCGGAAGGGCAGGATTGGTGGACAGTGGCTCCCTCTGGGGAGGGAGACTGATGGGGAGACAGAATGTCAGCCTTCACTTTATGCTTCCTTGTACTTGGATGTAAGAGCAGTTTTTACCTTAGATTTAAAAGAAACGCTAAAAATATAATGACAATTACAAAAAGAAACCAGAGAATATATCAGAAGCAGACTGATCTGGTGGAGGCTCAGGCAGGAGCTGCTCACCTTCCCCTGCCTCCCTCAGGGCTCCAGGACCCGTTGGAAAGCCACTCTTCCATCCCCAACCCTCCCTTACAATTGGGGAAATAAATCCCAGAGAAGAGGGGGTGACTTGTTCAAAGCCACCCAGCAAGTGGGTACCAGAACTGGGAGAAGCCAGGACCCTCACAGCCCCAATTCCTGCCTCTGGCACTTCCACACTGGCCCTCCCAGCTCCTAGCTGGTCCCCCGTCTCCCTGCCAGCCTCCCTCCAGGGCCTGACACTTGCCACCCCCACAGGTTGGACAGGGACTTGAACCGGCTCCCCCAGGACTTATACCATGCACGTTGCCTGTGTCCACACTGCGTCAGCCTCCAGACAGGCTCCCACATGGACCCCCTGGGCAACTCGGAGCTGCTCTACCACAACCAGACCGTCTTCTACCGGCGGCCATGCCCTGGAGAGCAGGGTGCCCACAATGGCTACTGCCTGGAACGCCGGCTCTACCGTGTCTCCTTGGCTTGCGTGTGCGTGAGGCCCCGTGTGATGGCCTAGCTGTGCAGCCCCGGGCTGGTCCTTGCTCAAACACTGGAGCTGGGTGTACAACCACCTGCCATGGTGAGCCAGGATGCCCGAATGCTCAGCCCCTCCAAAGCACCACCTGGAGCAGCAGGATCTTGGGACAGGATGGAGGACTTTAGGGGGAACGCACATTGCACTTTTTGGAGTGGATGGGAAATGCAGGGTGATGGAAAAGGAGCAGCTGCTGCTTCTGGTCCCTGGAAGCTGGCGTTTTGGCATTTCCTCCTGGGAAATGTCTTCAAATCTCAGCCTCTTTGCCTCTTTCTTTCCTCCCATCCCCAGCTGCCCTGGTGCAGCACAGACACTTTCTGGTATTTTCCCCTTGGCCAAAGGAGAGCCCCTCATTTCATTCATTCATTCATTCCTCAAATACTCAGTGGGCATCTACTTTGGATGCTCTACTTTATGCACCCTGGTGTAGCTTCTAATCTCATGACGTGGGTGCCTCTGAGGAAGAGGCTGTTATTGAGCCTGGAGAGAATCATCCAAATAAATAATCTGTATTTTAAAGTGGCCTTATTTGTATTTGGAATGAACATCCTGTGGTCCCCAGCCAGGTCCCTTCTCCGCCCCACCGTCAGCCCTCACCTACTGCCCTCTCCCGCTGACCTCCAGAGTTTCCACTGTGTACCCCTATACCCCCCTTCCCTGGCTCCCTGGCCCAGCCCTCAACACTGGGGTGGGGGTCAGGCTGCCCTCCTGGCATGCTGGAGAGACAGAGGCCCATTGAGGCGCTGCAGCAGGCACACAGCGCCCCCTTGTCCCCCCAACAATCTGCCTTTGTCCTCAGTTTTGGCTGCTACGGCTGGGTCCTGGAGGGCGCTCTCTGGCTGGGGCTTCAGCCCCCACCCTCCCTAAAAGGAAAAGGGAGAAAGGCAGTGAGGAGGAGGGTTAAGGTTAGGGAAGGGGGACACAAACTTCCTCAGGCCTGGGTCCTTGGGGGCTTCTAGTGCAGCCCGTTTCCAGACTCACACCTTCTGGCTCCTCCCCATTTCTCCATGGATCTCCTCCTCCTCCCTCCTCCCCTCTGCCCTTCTCCCGGTGGGTTGGGCTCCAAATCAGGGGAGGGCTGACCACTCCCCCCTTTCCTGCCCCTCCCCTCCCATGTGCCTGCTCGGGGGCAGTCCAGGCACCACCGGCAGGGCACTCTGGGCAGCTGGGTGAAGGCCCATCTGGGCAAGCCTCCCCCTGCGGCCGTCTTCTCTGGGGCCCCGCAGCAGGCCTGCCCGCTTCACTTTCGGGTTTCTCCCAGTGTCTTCCTGCTCCTGTCTGCTTCCCCATCCTGCCAGGTTTCCATCTTCCTGTTTCCCTTCCTGGGCTGGTGGCAGTGGGGGGCTGTGCCCGGTGGGACCCTCGGAGATGCTCAGTGCTCTGGATTGCCGGGACCGGCCCCCTGAAGAGGGGACAGCTGCAAGGCTCCAGGGCTTCGCCGTGGACAAGACCTTCCTCTCCTCCCTCAAAGGCATTCTGCTGGAAACTGAGCTGGTAATAGCCTCCCCCCCAACCTAGAGCCTCCATGTTCCCCTCCCTGGCCCTCTAGGGCTCACCCTCAGCAGCCTCCCTCCCCAGGCTCTCGGGACACCCCTCCTGGCCCACATCTCCTCCCCTGCCTTCTTGCTGCCTCTCCATCTGAAGGTGGTCCCAGCAGGTTTCAGCTGCAGCAGGAAGGATTGAAGTTAGATGGAGGACTGCTCTCTGGGACATTGAGGGAGTGTGAGGCACAGGGATGGGATAGGGTAACGCCATCTGGTCTTTCTCTGGGCTCTAAGATGGCCACTTCTTGGCATGTCCAAGAAGTTCTACTATCAGAAAGGGCAGACTTCCTGCGGCCCCACTTTATCTGTTGCCTGTTCCCCACAAACATCTGTCCTCCAGAAATGATCTTCCCCTAGTCACTCAGCAAGACCTTAGTGTAAACTTAAGTCTTCTGCATTTATGTCATCCCACATTGCCAGAACTGAAGACATCTCAGAGTCCACCCTGGAGCATCTGCCTTCTAAATCTTGCCTCTTGGCTTGGAACCAGAGGCTCTGGTCCTTATTAGAGGAGTTTTAGGCATCTGGGAGTGGGGAAAGTATTATGGGGCACAGGGTGCCTCCTGGGGGTGCAGGCTGCTGTGGGCACCGCTCCAGGGTCTGGCGTTCTCATTGTACTCTGTGCTAAAGGGGGACCCGTCTCTTCTGGATTTCATACAGTGGTGCCCCTGGAACCGTGCAGCTTGGCAACACTGCTGGGGCTGCTGGGGCGGCTGGGATCCCGGGGCAGGGGCAGCCTAGGCTGGCAGAGGTGGGAAGCTAGAGACTGCCCTCAATGGGCAAAGGCTCTGGATGTGGCTCCTGCCACCAGGGATGGCGAGACCTCCAAGGACAGGTGGGATGGGCCAGATGGGGGAGCTCCCAAGGAGGGGAAGGCAAAGGCCTGGCCATGCCTGTGTCCTCTTCTTGGCAAGCTTCCCACACTCTATCCTGTAGGCCCTGACCTTCATCATCTTCATCTGCTTCACGGCCTCCATCTCCGCCTACATGGCGGCTGCGCTGCTGGAGTTCTTCATTACGCTCACCTTCCTCTTCCTCTATGCCACCCAGTACTACCAGCGCTTCGATCAGCTGAACTGGCCCTGTCTGGTGAGAGACGCTGCCTCCCCCACCCCATTCTGGTCCCCTTTCTTCTCTGTTGAATTTTCCTTTCTTCTCCCAGACTCTCTCCTTTTCCTGGGTTAGTACAGAGTCCGGCCCCCACACCGTGCATGCAAACACTGCTTTGACTCACATCCCTTAGATCTGTTCCCTCATCCAGGTCCAGCCCCAGCCCTGCCCTGGCCTCAGCCACTGAGCCTGGGTCAGCCCCAGCCCCAGCCCAGGTCCCTGGCTTCTCGTCCTGGTCGCTCTGCTGTCATCTGCATCCCTCTCCTGGAGAGCTGGGTGAGCTCTCTTTCCCTCTGTCTCTCAAGTGCTTTATATTGTGTCCAAGGGTATCTCCATGTAGAGATTCACTGTGCCTGAGGGTCAAGCCGCTGACTAGCCTGGAAAACCTCAGGGTGATGCTCCTTACTCTCTGACTTCCCTTTGACCCTGCACTCCCGACCCCCAGGACTTCCTCCGCTGTGTCAGCGCCATCATCATCTTCCTGGTGGTCTCCTTTGCGGCCGTGACCTCCCGGGATGGAGCTGCCATTGCTGCTTTTGTGAGTCCGGCCCCACAGAGCTCTCCAGCTCCCCAAGGACCTCTGGCTGGTGGCTGCACACTTTCTGCACCTCTCTCCATCCCAGGCTCAAGCCAGTGCCTGCGGTTTGGTTCACACCTTGCCCCATACCACCCACCTCCCTCTCCCTGGTATCTGATGGCTCGATGGCCTTTGTTGTGCCACCCCGACTCTTACTCCCACAGGTTTTTGGCATCATCCTGGTTTCTGTCTTTGCCTACGATGCCTTCAAGATCTACCGGACTGAGATGGCACCCAGGGCCTCCCAGGGTGAGTGCCTGTACTCTGGGGAGAGGAGATGCCCCCTCCACCCCTTGCCGCAGCTACCCTACTCTGATGTGCCCTACCCTGCCCGGCTCCATCTCCACAGGGGACCAGCAGTGACCCTGGGGCTACTTGGCTTCCAAGCCCAGCCAGGAAAGGGCGATGGCAGAGCCCAGACACAACTCCTTTGGATTTACTAGGTCCCCAGCCTCCGGTCCCCTACCCCAGGCCTACTGAGATGGACCAGGCCTGAGAAGTCACCGGGGACTTGTCTGTGGGGCCTCATGCTCTGAAATCTGGCTCCTAATGAATCTTGGCCAGGGAGGGGATATCATGGATAAAGGGAAAGGTGCAGGAGGAAGCTGGTCATTCCCAAATTAAAAGATTTGAATCCTGCTGGTGAGTCTTTTCTTCCCCAGAAATTAGGCAGATTGGGAATGCCATGGAGTATTCACGGGAATGTTGCCTAGAGCAGGTCATGGTCTCTTCTTTGGGACCAGGTCTGAACAATGAGGAAGTGGGGTTTAGACTGAAGATGCTGAAGACATCCTTCAGCACAAAGCTTCCATGCCACAACTCTGTGTGCAAGGCCACTGTGCGATGTGCCTGGTGGCTGGGCACCCAGAGTTCTGTGTCTGAGAAGGCACAAGCTTTCCCTACGTGAGTGAGTGCCCACGTGTCCAGCCTGCTTCACACAGGGTTTAGTGGGTTTGAGAGGAGGTGCTTCCCTGGAGTGTGTGTAGAGCTCCCCCTGGTGGTGTGGGGAGAACTTGGCCCGCAGGCCACGGGATGGGGTGGGGTGGAGGCGGGGGGGGGGCGGGGGTGTGTGTGGGGGGTCAGCATCCAATGAGGGCAGAGATTCCCACAATTCTGGAACTGGACGACCCCTCAGATATCAGCTGGTTCAATCCCCTCGTTTCACATAAGAGAGAATATGCCTGATTAGGGGAAGTGACCTCTATTTGTGAAAGAGTTAGAGCTGGAGCCCATCTCTCCTAACATCTAAACAGGTGTTCTGGATATTGTTCTGAGTCCCTTATAGCTCAGAAAAAAGGGCCCAGATTCATCTCCATCTCCATTCACCAGTAGGTCCACCTTCCCAGCTTACCAACACCTCAGCAGACGTTTCCTGAGCCTCCCCAAAAACCGACCCCATGCTGGGCTCCAGGGATTCAGAGGCGACAGGGGGCTTGTCCTTGAGCGCTCACAGATGGGAAGGAGACCAGCTAGGGAAGGGCAGTCATGGCTCAGGGGGAGTTTGGAGTCAGCGCTGCCTGGTCCATGACAGTCCAGTGCACCCAGGATATCCCTGCCCAACCCCGCAGAGCCCAGTGTGGCCGAGCTCTTGCTGACTTGCTATCCTCTTTCCAATGCTCGTGTGTCCCTGCCCTGAAATACCTTCCTTCTTCTGGGGTGCTCCTTCCAAATGCGGGCCCTGGCCCCCAAACCCTGCCTGAACCCGGAACTCTGGTAGAGGTACTCTGCTCCCCTTGGGGATAACCTCTCTTGGCCTGGCTTTTCCTCTCTCGGGGCTCCTGTTCTCCTGTTCTCACATCCTGGCTCCCCCCTGAGCTGGTGGCCTCTCCAGGGCTAGAACCGACCAGCTTTTGTGTTTCTCTGGTCTCCTCTCACAGTCCTTAGGACTTTAATGACAGATCATTCTCAAGATGGGTGACTGACCTTGGGCAGGGGGCGGTCAATGCCTCAGGGAGGGATAGAAAGGGCTTAGCCAGGGGAGTCCAGAAGACAGGGGGCCAGTGAAGGGATGAGAAGGTGGTCAGGAGAGCCTGGCCATAAAGCCCAGCAGGGGGCAGGGAGCAGAGTGGGGTCCCCTGTCCCCTGAGCAGCTGCGTGACCCCAGCCAGCCTGTCCCTGGTGGGAGCTCAGCGAAAACAGAAGTGTGCTTTCTGGTGCAAACCTGCATGTGCCCTGCTCACCTGTGTCTGTGTGAGAGGTCAAAATGAGACAAGTGGCGCCAATTGGTCCACACTGCACATCAGCTCAGCTTGGCATCAGCTGGCCCCAGAATCTCAGGATGCCCTTACAGTGAGCCATAACCCACAGACCTGGGCCCCAGCCAACTGCACCCAGGGCAGATTGGGGAGGGCTCCCTGTGGGTTACTTCTAAGGGGATGACCAGAAAGGGACCTATCCCACCCTCTTTATCCACATCTCCATCCCCAGCCAGCTCTGAGCCAGGCATCAATGGGGAATTCATTTTGGGGGGAATGAATGTCCCAGGACACCTTTAACCCCTGTGGCCTCAGAGGTAGGGTAGGTGGAGGGTAGCTTCAGCTTCGGCACTAAAATTCTATCTCCTATATCTAGAACTGGCTCACCCTCTGGTGCCTTTGTTTTCTCCCCTTTTGAAATTTCTCCCTTTGGTGCCCTGTGTGGTTGGCTGAGCAGACCTGAGACTCATGGCACTGCCACCTCAGGGAGAACACCTCACCTCTCTGGGCCTCTGTTTCCTCCTCGATAGATGTGCAGGGTCTTGGCTCCCCCATCTCCGACATGGGGGTGGGGCCCCCCTCCCCCCAGTGGCTCCAGGACAACTCCTGGCTGGCGGCCGGAAGGACAGGGGCTCAGGCAGAGTCTGGCACTCATATTTATTGTGCGTTAGCAAGAGGGAGCTTCCATGGCAGTGTCACTCCTCGTCGTGCATTTTTTGCTGAGAAAGAATAAAAGGTGTGAGGGGGCAGCTGGCCTGAGGGAGGAAGGGTGTGGGGAGAAGTCTCCAGGGCTTTTGGGGGCCAACCCGAGGTGCCCTTAGGGGAAGGGGTTCAGCCCTCAGGGATCTTGAGGCCCCATTTAGGGGTCCTCGTGGTTTAGGGGAATGTGACTGAGCTTTCTAAGGAGGTTCCAGTCTGTAGGGGGCTTCTCTGAGCAGGAGTGGGGATTCTAGGGTATGGGGACTGTGGGACCCTTGGGGCTAACCAAATACAGGCTGAGGAGTGCCCACTCTGAGAGGCACTGACGTTGGGGTGTGCGCTGCTCTGGGAGTGACTAGCGGGGTCTGGGGAGGGACCCACCTTGGCGCCGATGTCGCGGCTCTTGGCCCGCAGCTTGTTGACCTGAGACTCGGCAATGTCCGCCCGCTCCTCCGCCTCATCCAGCTCGTGCTGCACCTTGCGGAACTTGGACAGGTTGGTGTTGGCTTGTTCCTCCTGCGGGGGTTCGGAGGGGTGGGTGGGAGGATGAAGTGAGAGGGAGCCGAGGTGGGGCATCCCAGCCTCCTAGTCTGGGGGACTCCCTGTCTCAGAGCAGGGGCTCAGCACTCTCAACCCTCACCCGTGTTCTTGCAAAAGCCTTGCTGAGGGTATCCTGCTCCTGGCTTAGAACCCTCCTCAAAATTGTCTGGCACTCAGAATCCTGACCACCCACTGCCCAAGATGAATCCTATGCTACCTGGTCCTCCCTCATCAGAATCCAGCTTCACTGCACCTGTCCAACTGTGACTCTGGGAGATGCTCCCTGACACCCAGGGTTTCTTGCACAGGTGTGCTCATCAGTGTCGCACATCCACACTTTCCTGCTCACCCAGATGTCTTCCCCACTATGCTACGCCTGCTCAGGTCTTTTCCAGGCCTGGTTCCCCTACCACCTTCCAGCCTCCGGTACTGGATGGCCCCCTGACCAGCATTAGCAGCTGCAATGTTTTCTCTTGTGATCACTGGTATATGGATTACAAGCAGCTTGTGGGCAGGTCCTGGGTCAAATAAGCATTACTTTTGTTAATTTGGAGTACCTGACCCAGCTCTGAGTTTGAGAGTTAAAAGTGGAGAGCAGACCCTCCGTCCAGGCCCCAGGCTGAGGTGGCCACTTGTTGGTTCTCACATAAAGGAGATGTGTGGAGAAAACCATGAACTCACCGCCTCCTCGGCTTGGCGCTTGTAGGCCTTGACCTTCAGCTGCAGCTTGTCCACCAGGTCCTGCAGCCGCAGCAGGTTCTTCCTGTCCTCCTCCGTCTGGGGCAGATGAGTGGGAGAAGACAGAGCAATCACCCTTCCCTCCCTCACCACTCCACTCTTCCCCAGGCCTTAGCTTCCCCTCCCTCCACCGGGCCAGGTCACAGAGGTGGTGGGGAGATTTCATCTCTGACGCCACTGATAGGTCAAAGGGCCAAGGCAAGGTCCTCAGGCCAGGATCTAAAAAGCAAAGAGGGCTGTGGCTCTAAAGTAAGACATGGGAGGAGGGGCTTAGAACCAAATGGAACTTGTTCATCTGATAATGTGGAGACATCAGGGCTGTTCCAGCTCCAACTTGGAGCACCACAGATGCTCTTGGCCAGTGGTTCTAGAGTGACCAGAGAGGATTAATGTGGGATGCAGACAGAAGGGATTATCATAATCCAGATCATTCTAATCTATCATAACCCAATATTCTAATACATTGTATTGGACCAGATTTCCAGCACCAGGATCAATGGCTCCAACGTTGCTCAGTTGTTCCCAATCATTGCATGTGCTTGGATGCTGTTTCCACTTATGCCCATAATACACCTGCAGCTTTCCATCATATCTCCTTTTTGGGGGGGGGCGGAATTAGGTCTATTTATTTACTTATTTAGTGGAGGTACTGGGGATTGAACCCAGGACCTCTGCATGCTAAGCGTGAACTCTACTACTGAGCTATACCCTCCCCTACATCTGTATCTCTTTCCTGTGCCTCTCAGATCCACCCTCTTTTTCCATCTTTCCTGCCCAGGCACCCTGTGAAAACAACAGGTCAAGGGCAAAAGCTGTAAGCTATGCAGACGGAGGGCTTAGAACACTCTGGGATCTTCTTTCTCTAAGGCTTTCTATCTGTGGTCCCAGAAAATCCAGGGAAGATGAGTCTTTTCCCATTTCTGACTTTTATCCCTAAAATGCCCCCAAATGTCCCTGACTCTCAGGCTGGTAGAAGGCAGAAGGATTCCCGGACTGTTCTGAAGTCTTCACAGTAGCACTTCAGGTTATTTAAAAAAAAAACCTGGGGAAATGCTGGTTCAAATTGCTTTCAGGAAGTAGAAGTAGATTCTCTATTCGCTAGAGAGATTCAGGGACTCAAGCCAAACTGTCTCCAGAGAATGTGAAAGAAAATTAATCTAAAGACAGCTTCTCAAGGGACAGGTGGCAGGAGGGCTGGGTGGCATTCCTGGAAGGTGGCTCTGCGTGGGGCCTGCGCCGGGCAGGAGGGTGAGGGAGGCGCTTTCACATCCATTTCTGAAGACCCGGCCCCAGCGCAGTCGCCGCCGTGCCCGCACCTGGTAGGTGAGCTCCTTGATGCGCCGCTCGCTCTTCCTCATGCCCTTGACCGACTCCACGTTGCGTTTCTGCTCAGCCTCCAGCTCGTTCTCCAGCTCCCGCACTCGCGCCTCCAGCTTCTGCAGCTGCTTCTTGCCTCCCTTGAGGGCGATCTGCTCGGCCTCGTCCAGCCGGTGCTGCAGGTCCTTGATGGTCTGCTCCATGTTCTTCTTCATGCGCTCCAGGTGGGCGCTGGTGTCCTGCTCCTTCTTCAGCTCCTCCGCCATCATGGCGGCCTGTGCACGGGGGCGAGGTGAGACCTGGTCTAAGTCTTCAAGCCCGAGGAGACCCTGGCTGGGAGCAGGCAGGCCAGGGCTGGGGGACTCACATCAGTGATGGCCTTCTTGGCCTTCTCCTCGGCGTTCCTGCACTCCTGCACTGCCTCCTCCACTTCTGACTGGAGCTGGGTCAGATCCGACTCCATCTTCTTCTTCTGGTTGATGAGGCTGGTGTTCTAGATGTGAGTAGAGAAAACTATGGACATATATACCATCACCTGATTCTACACCTTTATCCAGACAAAAGCACAACTGGTCATTTTTAAAAAACATGTCTTGGTTTTAGTATATTCATTGTTTTGCATCTGCTTTCTCTTTTCCTCTGAAAATAGATATATTCTAGATGTTATGCCTAAAATGACTGAGGTCTGAAGAAAGACTTCAAGCAGCAAAGAGTCTCTAGTTCTACTCCTGAGCTCTTTAGTGACATGACTATGCAGGGGTATGAAAATGCTCCAAGCAAACTGGGAACAACTTTTTTGCAGGCACCAAATCCTGGAAGTCATTACAGTTACAGGATGAGTGCAGTGGAGTAAGAAGAGGGGACCACGTCAATGGGTGATGTCAGTCCCACATATACAGATTACAGAACAAAACTCCACACGGCAATACAGTAAGATGGACACAATAACTCATTGCCGAGTATAGCTGGAAACAGATTGTATGGGATTGCAGGAAAATGGTGCTCTGTTAAGAACTGGGTTTGCAAGTGGATGCAGTTGTGCTTCTTTAGACTCCTAAAGTCCCATTTTTACAGAGCATGATGAGGCTGGCTGTCTCCTAAATCAAGGAGATCATATAATAGCATGCATTCCACAACTCTCAGATTTGTGCCTTTGGCAGGCATCACCAATCAACCACAACACTCTTAGCTGTTAAGTGTAGAATTCCTTTTCAAGGTACTGGTTCTGCAGCCATGACTAGCACATGAAATAATTTATGATTCTGGTTGGACCCGTACTTACTCAGGGCATCTGGCTCAGGTCACCTCTAGATGTCCTGGCTCTGCCACTTGGCAGCTTTCCCCTGACCTCCTCACCTGGGAATGCAGCAGCTGCACCCGCTCACTGGTCTCGATCAGCTCCTGCTCAGCCAGCTTCCGAGACCGCTCTGTCTGCTCCACCACCGCCCGCAGCTCCTCCAGCTCAGCCTGCAGCAGGTTGTTGCGCCTCTCCACGATGGCAATGTTCTCCTTCAGGTCGTCATTGGCACGGATTGAGTCATCCAGCTGGATCTGGGTGTCCTGAGGGTCAGGAGAGCAGGTATGAGAGACGGAGATGGTCTGTGGCCCATCAGAAGGCTATTAGCTGAACTAGATGCCGTGGTGAGCCCGTATGGTGGCTCAGGAGGAGCCCATGGTGGGTGTCTGCAATGGCTTAGGGGCAGGAGGGATCTGGTGCTGTGATGGGACACCCCCACCCAACACGGCCACCACCCCTCTCTGGGTGAGGTGACTTCCTGCTTCCAACAGTCTCCATGTACCTTCAGCAAGCTCTGGAGGCTCTTGACTTGTTTCTGGGCCTCGGCAGCCATGCGGTTGGCGTGGCTGAGCTGGATCTCCATCTCATTGAGGTCACCTTCCATCTTCTTCTTCACCCGCAGGGCCTCATTGC